TCCCTGATCTTTCAGCATGTACTCCTTTATCCGACTCCGGTTTTTTTTATAAGAACTGTTAGATTTGTGCCACGCAGAGTTCCATGCAATGCCTTTACTGGGTGATTTGAAGAATGAATGTAAGCAATAAGGATTGACGCCAGTTTTACTGTCTTAATGCTGTTAGAGCCTTTCTGTGTGAGGAAGCAGACCCCAGAACTGGGACAAACTAAAGCGCTTGCAGGGCGATAAATACACATGGCTAGAGCTTGGTTGCCACGCCCAGGAGAGAGGTTGCCAGAGGCTGACCATGGGGTGGGGGCTTTGGATTTACATGCGCAAAGGGACATATTCTGTCTGGGCAATGGGCAGCGCATCAGAGAGGGAAAACACCGGAGCATAGGAGCGAAGGAGGCAACTTCACAGCATCTGAAAGATGATGGCCGCTTGGAGCATGCTGGCATTGATGAAGAAACTGGGGTTCCAAGGTGCAAAATTCATTATAGATGCAATTAACAAAGTGCAGCGACCGATCAAAGACGGTGGCCATGATGGGAAGTGCTGGGACCATATTCAAAAGAGCATAGCACTCATTTTACTGCACCTCAATGTTGGCCACACAGCTCTGATCTAGTAGATGCAGATGTCTAGAGTTCCAGGGACATGGCAGGTCTGAACAAAAAGTGTGTGTGTGGGGGTCTGTGGCTACCGCTATGTTACAGCCCCTTACTGGATAAAGCCACTGAGACAACACACAAATACTAAAGAGAAAGTGCCCTAACGCTCATGGGTATTCAGAAAATCCGCAGGTGCAGCAAAGGAAGAGGAACCAGAAAATGAAATCACAGAAGTCTGTCCTGCACTGCAGCAGGACACCAGGAAGACGCAGCAGCAGATGCGGGGATAATATAAATCTTAGAACAGACTATAGGGAATGTCTCTGGAGGATGTATATGATAAAGGATAATGATGATGGATTGAAAATACTAAGGCCATTGTTTTGCCCGAACAGTCTTCCACAATGGGTTTGTGTAGTAATGTATTTTTTTTTTCAAATATAAGTAATTCTCAATATAATCTCCCATTCAGAAAAATGGGGTAGCAACTAAAAGGGAATGTGAGCTAGTTTTCTGTCTGGTGCTTGTTTGGGTTTGATTCCTTCAGCTAAAATGCTCAATCCTCAAATGAGTCCTCACACCCTCAAAAGTTCTTCACCAAATCTTGACAGCCTGCATCTCCTGTCCATTAGTCTTACATCACCAGTATCTATGGGAATGAAAGCCACGTGCTAACCTAACTGATTGGTACCCATTCCTGAACCAGTCACTGAGGGATTACGCGGACCAGGTGGAGCCTATTCCTAGGAAGGGCAAGTCAGGGCCACCTAAGTCACTTCACCCTCCTTGGTGCAGGAATGGAGTAATGTCCGGGAGGCAGACAGAATCAAGTAAGACCGTAACTGCCACAAGACCCCGTGCCCTGCTTAGACCACGCTAGTGAGTGAAACAGACTTGAAGGCACTAACTGTATGGGCCCAACTCCCATTGGTCCATCCCCTCCACTTCCGTTTCCTTCTGTAATCTGTAGGTTTTCTGGAGGCTAGTGAGAGATTTCTATGTAGGTTTTCCTGCTTCTGAAGGATGCTCTTCCGACCTCTGTGCTATTCTGCCTCTGCAGAAATGAGGCCAGTGCTCTGACACAGACTGAGACTGTCTTTGGAACCCTGAATTGGCAGTTTCAGGGGAGGCCTGAGTAGGAAGCTTCTTGGGGAAGGTCACCTTGAAATAGACCACAGAGATAGGCAGGGTTCAATGGAAAGAGTGGAGGAGGAAGTCAAACACAAGAGACTGGTAATAGTAAATTTCCACGATGTGTTTTCTTAGGCCACTTGGTCCAGCAGAATGCATGTGGGAGCAGAGAAAATTCTGGGATATTGATTTATGCCATATGAGGTATAAGGGAGAGTTTGGATTTTCCTTCCCAGAAGACAGGGTGGGACTTTAAAGGATTTGAGTGGATCGAGAGATCAGAACATAGTGCTGATAAGGCCTGTCTTACAGAATGGCATAGGGCGTTTGTAAGGGACAAGCAGGAAGGAGGTTAACAACACCCAAGAATACACCATCAGCATTCACAAGCGCATCCATGGCATGAGCTCCCAGAAGCCTGCTCCTGGGGCACTCAAAGAAATCCAAAAATTTACCTTGAAGGAGATGGGGACTGCAGGCATGTGCATTGATACCAGGCTCAATACAGTTGTCTGGCCCAAAGGAATAAGGAATGTTCCACATCATACCTGTTTATGTTTGTCCAGAGAAACATAACGAGCATGAGGAGTCACCTAACAAGTTTCACATTGGTGACTTATGTCCTGTTACCTCACACAAAGATCTACAGACAATGTGTATGAGAACTAAACTGTTGAATGTCAAATAAAGTTAGAGAACTACCAACACACATACTCACACACACATACACACACACACACACACAACACACAGTGCGCGCGCACACACACACACACTCACACACACAGAAGGGCTCTATATCCACCACAGAAACTCTTGCACATCTGTAGTTATTGTGGCTCTCTTCACAGTAGCAAAGAATTAGAGCCAGCTTTTATGCCTGTCAAAAGACAAATGGGTAATGAAAGTATGGTTGATACACAAAATGGAATTTTATTCAGCTGTAAAGAAAACTGAGGTTTGCAGGAAAGTGGATGGATTTGTAAAGTATAAGTGAGTGGTTCAAATTCAGACAGAAACCACATAATTCTCCCCCGTATGTAGATCCTAACACGCAATGTATACATTTATGCATATAAATGGGTGTAAATGTGAAAACAATTTAAAATATTAGAAAAGACACCAAACAAGGAAAAAAGATTTTCTGAGGGAGCCAGAGAAAAATAGGACCAGAGGCCGTGAAAGAGGAGAGGAGACTGGGGGTCTGGGGGGTGGAGGGGAGTCTACAAAATCACACTTTGTTAAAAAATAATAACGATGATGATATTGATCCTTGAGAAGCCAGGGTCCTTGAGAGTATAGAGGCCTTCTCCTTCAGGTGGCTATAAGAAAAGAAAAAACAAGAAACAAACAAACAAAAGCCAGCAAAGGACACTGGTCCAGGCTCCAGGTCCTGTGCTGTGAGAACCCGAGAGTGAATGGCATGATAACAGGGAAGTGAGGGCTTGTTGACGGTGGTTTATGTTATGTTCACAGGAGAGAGATGGAGAGAGGGGGGGCACAAATATTACAAGTGTCCCAGCAGAGATGACCACTCAGACACAGTTTATAGACAACGGAAAGGCTTTATTCCAGCCGGCTGGGGCTATACTCGGGAATCCGGGACCCAAGTGTATCCTTGAACAACTGTACTGAGGGGCTTTTAAAGGCAGAACCGCCTGGTATCCCTCTTGGCAGCTGTGCGGGGAGGTTTTGTGCAAGCAAGCCATCTAACAGAAGCAATGATGATAAGCAGTTAGCTGGAGGGGAGCCTTGCACAAGCTGGGGCATCTTGACCTCAGGTTCCCAGAACGGAGTTGGGAAGTTTCCCATGGTTCTCCATCAAGGAGACGAAATCTTAGTTAAGCCAGAAATGACCTCAGCAAGAGTGTAAGATGTAGGAACCTCTGCATTGTCTTGTCCTGTTACACAAGGAGAGGGACTGGAGTACTGGAGACAGTCCCAAGAAATGTGTTGCCGACAGGGATTCCCCAGCAAGGGGTAGTATGGCTTTTCTGGGTTGAGAGAAAGGGGGCAGGAGAGTTATTCCCGCTTGCTCAACCATGGGATGTCCTTGTGCCTTTCCATCCAGGTGTCTGCACCGGGGTTTTGGTCACACACTCACATACAGCCTTCGGGCGACTATATAAAAGGGGAAGAAACATAACAAGAACCCGGGCAAGGAACCAGAGCCCTAAACACGTGTGCCCTCTGACCTTCAGCCAGGACAGAAACATAGCAAGGAAAAGAATCGAGGTTCCGCCCCCTAAAGCTGACTAGACATTTCCTATCTCTGTCTTACACCATGATTTAAAACTTTGTCTGCTGTTTTGAACAAAGTTTTGAATTAAAAACAGAGTATACTATAAAACAAAACAAACAAACAAGACCAGTTGGGAAGCTAAATGCAAGAATCTAGAAAGTATTTTTTGTTTGTTTCATGTTTCTCTTTTAGGCATGACCTCCCTGTGTGGTGTAGGCTGTCCTAGAACGTGCTATTTAGAGCAGGTTGGCCTAGGACTGCCTCCACTTTGAAGTTTTTAGACGACAGGCATATTCCATCACACCCAGCATAAGAATCTGGGAAGTATTTAATGAGAGCCTGACCTGACGTAGTGAGAAAGGGGCGGAAAGGAAATGGCAGGTAAATGTGAGAAATGCTAGAGATGGTCTGGCAAGGGAAGAAAAAAGAGTATGAAGAGACGGTAGGTCTAGCCTGAATGTAATGAAGACAGCGGTTCCAACAGCAGAGATGAAGATACATTAAGGTCTCGCAGCATCCTCTGAGACCTGTGAGCCAAAATACTTACACACAGAGCACAACATCCTTACACAGGGCCCAGGGGCCTTACCGGGAGCCCACAACCACCTAGCAGAGTACAGAACTCCTTCCCCCAAGCCCTTACCCAGAGTGCCCCAGGCTAGCTTCTCTCTCCACATGGTGTCTGGAACATCAACATGCTGCCTTTGAATTTTATGCAGAGGGTCCCGTGGAGAGAGCCAGCGAGCGTTTGTTCAGTCTGTTGGAGCAGAATATTCTATAAACTCATGGGAGTCTCGAGATTCCAATCAAGCAAGTGTTCCGCATGACTCCCCCTGTGTTGGTGGACGGGTGTCAAAGGCGCGGAGCAATCTCAGTTTGCAAGTCACAGTATAAAGTTCTCTGTTAAAAAGGAGAGGAAATATATGCTATTCACTGGAGGGCAGGTGAGGGGCAAGCGTCTTCAGAGACATTCCACTGGCCATTAGGGACTTCTGAGTAATGTTTTTTCTTCTCTCTCTGTCTGTGTTTAGTGTTCGTCAGGTTCAACTCCAGCCATGGTTTCCCAGTGGAGGTCGATTCTCACACCAGCATCTTCCAGCTCAAGGAAGTGGTTGCTAAGCGACAGGGGGTTCCAGCTGACCAGCTGCACGTGATTTTTGCTGGGAGGGAGCTTGAGAATGTCCTGACAGTGCAGGTGAGTCTCCCTGGGAGGGTGGTTCCTGGGATGCTGCAGCAGGGCCCGTTCCCCCCCCCCCCCCGCAGCTTATGCTGCCAATCTGACATTCCCGCCCGAGATCTAATAGAATAAATAGTGCCTGGGGATTCCTTGAACTTTACTCCGCGCGGCTTCATTAATTCTGACCTTCTTAATTATGCATTAAAACAGCAAGCAGGAAGGATTGGAGGAACAAGTCTGAGCGAGGGGAGAGAGAAAGAGAGGCTAGGAGCTAGGCTTAGTGAATAAATGTTTACTGGCTGCAGGAGCAGTGAGGCACAATTTCTGGTCTGTTCAGTTTTTACCTCCCTTATTCCATTTGAATCTTAATGAAGAAGGAAGGGTTCAAATAAATTGTTCCCAATGAGGCTGCTCAGCCCCTGCTCGGATGGGATGAGGGATTTATAACCCGACTGTGACCCCTGGAGGACAGTCATAGCTGTTGCCTGGGCTACAGCAGGTGCTGGCCTAGGGCCCTATATGCAGAGGGCTCTGAGAAGCTTAAGGGCAACATCAGAATTACACAGCAAAAGGCCATCTTTGTATACCCCTGGCCCATGCCCCCGATACAGTCCTGAATAGACCGTGGGGTCTGCTTTCTAGCCTCTTGCTCCCTGGGTATCTGGCTGCTGCTGGGCCATGGAAACCCTTCTTGCATGTTGTACTTTCTGAGCAAAGCATTTTGTAGGCTTGGAAGGGACCGGCTAGAAGTTGCTGAGCAGGCCCATCCCCCAGAATGGGAGAACAGTAAGTGTTGTTTTGGGAAGGTCAGCAGATATGAGCCACATTTACTGCCGTGATTAGAAGCAAGGGAGGAAAAAAATCCTCCCCGCCTATGGTGTGACCCTGCTTCTGTTCACAGCTGGGCGGGGATGAGTGCGGTGCTCAGTCAGACCTCAGACTGCCCAGTCCGGCCGGCCGGGCAGTCCTCTTGTGGGCCAAGGTATTTGCTGCTTTGTGAAATGCGTTTGGAATGTGGGCATACAAAGGAACTATAGAAATGCAAATCACTTCCGCCATCCTCCTGCTCCCGCTGACGGTGGCGGGACTCAAACTCATTGTGCAGAAACTGCTGTGCTTTGCTTCCAGGCGATTTGTTTTCATAAGGGAAGTGCCTGTGCTAAAATGTGTTTTGATTTTTTTTTTTATTTCAGTCAACTTAAAAGCTTTTCGATGTACCTGCCAACTTCTAAAGCTAAGATTGTTTCCTTTACAAATAAATGGTCTTAAAACTGCTTCTTGAATCCAAATAAAGTTTATTGTGAGACCATTTAGATTCTAAAGCCAGCTCCTGTACCAGGTAGGGTGACAAGTGTAGCAGTTAGCCGTTTCTTATTCAGGAAGACTAATTGTTGCAGAGGACTGATTTTTTTTTTTTTTTTAATGTACTGATTCAAAAGTCCTATTTTTCTTAACATTTTTTGAGCTTCTGGTGTTCAGGGCTTCTAGGGTATTGGTTGAAAAGGCAGAGCTCAGTTCATCTTCATGGAGTCTGCTTTTTACCTGGTTAGGGCTCTGAAACTGAAGGAACACTAGATCAAACTGTCTGGGAGCAACACAAAAGGAAAAAAATCATTAGCAATGCCACGCAGTTCAGCCCTATGCCTATAGTATACGCGCGCCGTGCATAATTATTGCTGTATCACAAGAAAAAAATGAGTATTGTGATATTTCAAAGGTGCAGATGGATCGATCATCGGATGGGAAGGTAGTAACTAAGAAACAGCTCCTGGGTGAACCGAATCCAGATAATGGAATGGCAAGAGCAGGAGACATGCTTGGGAGGGAGGGAGGCAGCTCTACAGACTGAGGAAAGATGGGCTTGGCACTGTGAGTTTATTCGCAGAAAGCAAAGGGAAGCCGTAAACAGGGCGAGGGAAGGTCATGTGGAGATGTTTAACTAACCACGGGGGGCCTGGGGGGCTGGCCCCAAGGAGCAGTCTTTGTATTCACAGACATTTGCCCAGAGAGACATGTTTTTGAAGCAACCCTAATAGAATCAGTTGCCAAGGGGAAAGGGTGAAGCAGTATGAATATTTTAGCTTTGATAGCAATAGACAAAAATACCTCAGGAAGTATGGCCTACCCAACTGACACTTCGGAGGCCAACTTAAAAACTCCAGGTCCCCCAGGGTTAAAAAGGAAATAAAGGAAATTTCCATTCTTAGGGGCTGAGGTGATTGCTCAGGTTCTCTCTCTCTCTCTCTCTCTCTCTCTCTCTCTCTCTCTCTCTCTCTCTCTCTCTCTCTCTCTCTCTCTCACACACACACACACACACACACACACAGGAAGTCCTCGGTTCAGATCCCCAGGACCCACTTCAAGCCTTACTTGGTAGTAGGCATCTGTCACTCTGTGATCCTAAGGGGACATGGGAAGCTAACAGGCCAGCTGGCCCAGCTCAGGTATGCAGCAACAAACAAGACACCCTGCCTCACACAGTATGGGTGAGGACTGGCACATGAGGTTGCTCTTTGGCCTAACATGTGTTGTGACATAAGCAAATGCGCACACTTACATGGGAATGCATGCATGCTTGCACACATACATCATATATATAGATGCAAATCGTTTCTGACTTTCCTGTTATAAGCAATGGAAATTTGGGAAAAGGAGAGGATTAGTATGCAATGCATGAGAAGTTTCAAGGTTCAAAAAGGAAATGTTCTGGCCAAGGAGTTTGAAACGGGTACGTAGTGCGCTCAGCTCAGCCTGTCCCTGAAAGGAAGCAGGCTCACCTGGAGAATCCTCAGAGAAGTGGTATCTGTCATGTTGTACTGCAGGACTTTATGTATAGCTGACTTCGACAGAGATGTAATAAGCACGAACCGATTTCACGTTCATTAAGATTGTTTCACTTAACGTGATACCATGCTAAGTGAATGCATGGTGTTCTAACAGTCTTTATCTTCATCTACCCCTTAATCATTAGATTTTTGTCTAGTTTTTAATGTAGAAACTGAAGCAAATTGGTTTTTACGTATACTATGCACATCTAAAGAATTTGGCGTCTTTTCTCAGATTGCTCATTTTAGAGACAGAAATAATGATAGCCTAAATCTTGTTGCAACTTTGTCAGAAAGGAATGCTTTTTGTTTAAATAAACATCTTCCATATACAAATACTGTCATTAACAGTGCACTGTTATTAACAGTGCTGGTACCCTGATTGCCGTCTTCAGCAGACGCTTGAATTTAGATCACCTCAATGCAATACTCCCATGAGAAGTCGTAATTGATACATGAAATAAGGAAAGCATTTAATTGGGACTTGCTTACAGTTTCATATATTTCGTTCGTTTTCATCATGGAAGGGAGCATCAGCATGCAAGCTGGCATGATGTTCACATCCCCACATCCAGCTTGGAATGGACTTTTGAAACCTAAAAGGCCAGCCCCATTGACAGTTTCCGCCTACAAGACCACCCATATTCCAACAAGGTCCCACCTCCCAATCCTTTCACACTGTGTCACTCCCTGATGGCCAAGCATTCAAGCCCATGGGGGGGGGTCATTCTTATTCAAACCACGACACATGGGAACGTGTTGTTTTGCAGGATTCGCCTGAATGGCCATAAGTGTCTTGGAATAAATAGTAATTGTAGTTCAAGTGCAGCAGCTTCCTGAAAGGTAGAGGCAAGAACACACTAACCAAGGACCTGCAGACCCAGACACAAGTGCAGGGGTGAGTTCCTGGATTTCCCGGTATCCCATTATCACAGTACTGGGGCCTGTGAGGTTGTCAGCTCAGAAATGCCAACGTGTGTGTAGGTGAGAAGCCAAGAGAGCGTCAATAACGTCCTGATCTTTGTCCAAAGGGCCAGGAGAGAAAGCCACCTGATAGCCCAGGATTCCGGTAGACCAGTCTGCTGCAACCTGACAGCTCAGGAAGGCTAAGTGCTCAGGCAGAATCTTTATGGTCTCCCAGGTCTAAATACCCATGATTAGTGTGCTTCTTACAGAACCTTTGTCAAGGATTGCACCTAAATGAGAAGTAAATAGTTCCTGGCCGTAGGGTACTTTGTTGAACATATTTTCCAGATTCAATTGAGACGCTTGTGCTACAATGTCAGGGAATAAATGAGCAGTTCATATAACCATTGTTGATTGTTTACAGAAGACATTCATTTGAAATGCTCTCCTTTTATGGGTAACATGCATTAAGGTAATAGAATTTAGGGATGGAATTATTTCATTTGTAAACTATAATTTAGTTTAAATTGTTCCACTTTCTTTATTGAATACAAGGCAGCAAGAAGTGAGATAAATTTAGTGTTGAATGCATTTTCACCCCTGAATTATTGTCTGTGTATGAGGAGATTCTGCAAATGGCAGTGTAAGTCTCTGATATAATACATTTCTCCTGTGATTATATAGTAGAACGAAGCCAGGCTAAATGTCATTTGATCCAGAAAACAGCCAGACAGTGATTTTTCCGTACGCACACAAACTCACAGTTGCATAAACTAAATCTCAGTTACTACGGGACCTGTGCAGGCCTCTCCCCTGCAGGTTGCCTTGCCAGTGGAATGGGTGGCTAGCCTCGCTGGGCCTGAGGTTAACGTGAATTCAAGCGGACACCGTAGGAGCTGATGGGTGCAGCTCAGGGGCAGAGTCTAGAATGACAGAGCGGAACTGAACAGAGCAGGTGTTGACTTTAGAGCTTTGCTCACCTCATCATCCCTGTCTTGGCGATTACGATCTTTGTGCCCTTAACCTAGAATCTGCGGATCACTTACCTACCTGCACAGTTTGGACCCACACAAGTACTATTATCTTTGGGAAGGAACTCTCAATATTTCTTTCCCTTTGTTAGCATGTAAAACATCTTTAAGAACTGCCACAGATAAGCAATTAGTTGGAGGGAAAAAAAAATAAAAGTAAGAGTTGTGATTCTCTTATCTTGTTAGTGGCTGACTGTGACTCACCAGACTGGTGTCTTCATTGTCCAGCTGGGGAGCAGCCAGCCCCAGAAGCTCC